CGTACAACAACTGACTAGACACCTAGGGGTAAAGTAACAAAAAAGCTACTTGAACAAAAAAAAATTGACAAAAAAGTTGACACACTCTCACATGATGCTTGCCCCCACATGTATAAAAAATTGAAAAAAAAAATATGAGACCCCTTAATCCCTGATGTGAGGGGCCGGTCAGGGTGACAATCACCCTGACCCGGTACAAACAGCAAACAGGTTGACCTGGTACAAACAGCACTTCTCAATTTATCCAATTCATGTTAATAACATCACAAGAATCCAAATTTTACTCCCCAACTCCCTTTAATTCCTCCTACACCAAAAACTCTTCCATTAATTTCACCTCTCCAAGAATGAGGTGGTTGTACAAACTCAGATTTGGTGTTTGAAACTCCACTGACTGCCCTGTGGATTTCTCTTCCGATTATTCCATAGCGCAGGGACTTGACGATGACATAACCGCTCCGGGTCAGCAGTTCACGCAATTCGGGGCAGGTTGCTTCTGGGGAGTTGATTTGGCCTTCCAGATTACCATAACCAGTTAATGTTTTCACCACGGCTAACATTCTTATTTTTAATTTTTTAGGTGATGAACTTCTCTCAAACTCATTTCCATACAATGAAATCGAAAATGGGATTCTCTGGGAAGTTGGGGAAACATAAAGATCTTTACTTATTTCATTAGATTTAGTTATTGGGTTCATCGTTATGTTCACTGACTTAGTAAACATTTATCAATTTACTTTATTTTCTAATTGCTTGTTTGTTTGGATTATCCTAGGAAATATTGGATACTTGTATTATTATGTCTCCTTTGCAAGATTTTTGCACTGTAATTTTTGTGGTGGATTACAGTGGGTTGTCCAGGGAGCAGTTGACGTGGACATTGGTGAAAACCCTTCTGCTGAAAGTGCTGATGAGGACGAGGGTGTTGATGACACGGCTATTAAGTTCGTTGACATTGTTGACACATTCAAACTCCAAGTTTAGTTTATGCATAATGTGTATTATGATTGAGTTCTATGTTCAGAATTTAATGTCTTTTAACCTGGTTATTAAATACAGGAGCAACCCCCATTTGGCAAGAAGCAATTTGTTGCATACATCAAGAAATATACAAAGCTGTTGACAACCAAGTTCGATGCAGAGAAGCAAGTGGAGTTCAACAAGGGTGTTGAAGGGGTGACTAAATTTCTGCTCTCAAAGTTCAGTGACCTCTAATTGTAAGTTTAACATAGCATTATTTTAACATGTTTGGTAAGGAGGTGATAATACCACTCGAAAGTATGGAGTAGATGATGACAAAATCTTGGGTTTTTATACTTACTGTGAAGGTCATTTTGGATAGCTTCTGCATTTTGTAAAAGTACTTCCGGAGTTGGCTTCCTTTGGAAGCTCTTTTAAGCATCAGATAAAGCTCTGTCAAAAAATTATCTAAATAGATTTAAAAGAAGTTTCTTAGTTT